TTACAATGGGTATCACAAAAGAAAGCACGGTGGGTTGTCTAGACATTATGACAAGTGGCTACTATAATGAGTTGTAATAGACATTACATGATAGATGCTCCTAGTATATGAATTGATATAAGATCAAAAGTTAATTGAATTGTAAAAGACATCAATGGATTGTTATGTTAAGCATTATTAACATTTATTTAGTGCTTTGCGATGTTAAAATCCGCGACAGAAAAAAGATTAGAAAGTTTTTTTCATCAAGTAGAAAAGGAATTGGATTTAGCACCAGAAATCAACAATTACTAAGAAAATAGCCAGAAAAAAAGGTAAAGGTAAATTAGAGCGCCTTGAATAATTTATTGGATTTTCGAAACAGTGAATAATAACTGGCTGAAATATATTCAGAATACTATGAGCCCGACAAAGAAAAGCGAAGACAAATATGAACTGAGTTAGCTGAGAAGAGGAAGGTATTTTAAATTTATTAAATGAAGGACGTGAAGTTAAAGTATGCTAGCAGTTCAGCATCTAAATCAATATGCAGGCAATACATAATCAGGGAAGTAGATTTATCGCAAATGCAACTACCGATATCTGATGGCAACTGAAAATATTGAAGAAATTTTTGGAATAGCTTTGATGTTGCTATGCATTTTCAAGCCAGTTGCTTAATATCCTGTCTAAAAGAAGGCGCTATACTTGTTAAAAGTTACAACACTGCACCTTTAGAAAGTGAATTGTAGAAAAAAGTAAACATCTTGTAGAAAGTAAATTGCCGGTTCAAATTTCAAATGAAGTGCATTAACAAAAAGAGTAACAACGGTTGTGGTTAGTAAATCAACCAACAGTTCCTGGAAGAATTAATTCATATAAATAATAGAATAATTAGAAGTTGCCTTTAATAGTGAACAGAAAGACACGGAAAGAAGTCAAACCGATCAAACTAGATTCCATATAGCTCTAGAGAAGAGGTTTCTTCTTTATCTGAAATCAAGTAAATTAAAAAAAAAACGAGAACCAAAAATTTAAAGACCTAAATGTAGTGAGATAAGAAATCTTGTACCTTTTGTAATAGAGGTTATTGGGATAACGAATGTCGAATTTCACTTTCTCAAAGAATGAACGGAAGTTCTGAGCGAGAATAATGGTTCTCTTAACTTTCTCAGAAAAGGGTATGCGACAAAATAACTGCAATAAAAGGAAACATTTATGTTTTCACTGCTAATTTTTTTTCTTCATAATAGTGCATCATGTTATCCAATACAAGCACGGTGTCGTGAATTTTTTTTGTCTTGAAAGGTTTTGTCAAGGACCAGGAACAAACAGGAATCTAAAGGATTTATCTTGATTGTAGAATAGGCAGTTTATATCGCGAAACATTAATCATAATGTTTTATTGTAACATGCGATATTCTTAGGTTCATCATAGATTCATTTCTCATGTGATTTCTTTGTCATTTTTATCTAATTAATAATCCCATGTTTACCTACTGATTTGAGTTTGTCACAATTCTTATATTTTAAGGTTTAATCATAATGTTTTATTGTAAACACACTCAATTCTTATATATAAATGCAATATTATAAACAAAAAGTTCTTTAGACCATAAACAATTCATATTTCCTTTTCTTCCAAAAGACTAATGATAACACGAAAAATTTCTCTCCTTCTTTTCCTTGTTTGACTGTTCAGATTAATCGTTATTCTATGTCTTATAAGAATGAAGATACAGTAATTTTATTGCGGTATCATAAAGCTAAGCATAACTGATGCCAACTTATTTGATTCTAAAACACAAAAGTTTGTGACTGTATAGAGTAAGCCATCCAATTTTCTGAATTTCTCCTGATTAACGACAAACTTTTCACGACAAACAAAAACTAACGACAGTTCAATTAATGCACAATATACATCATCCGATATGTCTTACTACTGTTACTGATATAGCAACAATAGTGTTACCTTTAACTTGGAAGCAAAATTACTGGCACAAGTTATGCTTAGTTTATGAAACTGCAATCAGATTATTGAATCTTTCTTTTTTGATATAATAAGCTTTAAAAATAAAAAATACCAATAGAAAGAGTAGCCAGAAAAAAAGAGTGTTTTTTCTTATTTATCTGTTCTTTTTTTTTTTTGACATAACAGTTTTTTTCTTCTCCTTTTTTCTGCTTGTTAGTCTATGGTTTATATATGTGTTCAGAACTGGGAATGATTTACAACAAACATTACAACAGTTGTTCATTTGGGTACACAAGAAACTGTAAAGACTCAATTACAGTACAAGGATCGTAACAAGATCAAATCGAAAAATTAGCATGTAGATTTCATTAAATTACGATAACAAAAAAGCGTGAAAAATGAATCTAAAAAATCTAAAAATTAAATGATTCGTAACATTGTTAATGACAAATTTTTCTATAAACTTATTTTATCAGTTTATTTAGAGTCTCGCGAATCTTGGATCAAAGAAAAAGTAGATTCAATAATTAGTTCAATATTTTAACAAAAGTACAGCAAAGTAATAGAGTCTTACTTCTATGCCAAAAAATAAAGTAACCAATCTAAGTATATCACAAATCCACAAACCCTTGGCACTATTTGACTTCGGCTTTCAATTATCCTTATTCTCCAACAATTTAACAAATCGATAGATCGATGAAGACATATGAAATGAGTTAAATATGGCCTCATTCGGTAACAAGATATCAAATTTATGCGGCTACAAAAGTTTCAAAATCTATAATCAGAATTTTCCTTGCTCTATAAAAAATCGACCGATGATAGTAGAAAGTTGATATAAAAATAAATTTCAAAATTCTGATGATATTGAAGCCAAATTAATGTGTGTGGCATGGAATGAAGGATTCCTGAAGGTCAGTCAAGACGAATGCGATACACATAGACGAATGTGTGTGTTGAGTGAAAGATTTATTACAACGGTATTTTATTCACTAGCAACCACGATATAAATCTATAACGAGAATACATTTATAAGTCTGTAGTATTTGCCTGCAAATACGAGACAAAAAAATGAATAAATTAATGGGGAATTTAAAGGAACCTATTAATCTAAAAACTAAAATGACGAATGCAAGCAAAGATATAACTGTTGCTGTCTGTCATTTGCTCATCCAGGAATAAATAAGTTGAAATTCAGTAATGAAAGATTTGATTTTGATAACGACGATTCCTATAAGATGGGTTCTGAAGATGAGTGGTAACGAAAAAGCGATAAAGAAAAATTGTATGTGAATATCCGATATTTCATCTAACATTTCCGAAAGGAAGACTGTGAAGAAATTACGTGACAAAACTTCATTGAACTGCTGTATCTATTCGAACTTACGTTATGCAAATATCAGCAACAAATGTAGCATTACAAAACAATATGTATTAAAAGCCTTTTGCAGATTACACCATTACCCTTAATTTCTGATTAAACAACTATTTCCGTAACACCTTTATATATCTGTAAAATCTTAAACAAAGATGGAATAAACCTTAAAATAAATTTCTCCTAACAAATAATAATATACGATACTCATGCAGATGGTTAGGAGTTGAATGTAAATCGACAACAGATCCTATATTTATGAAAGGAGAAATAATTCCCTAATGTGGAAGAAAATATCAGATCTTGATAAAACTGTGCTAAATCAAAGTCAAAAATATATAACCAATACATAGTAGTAATGCCTTATGGAACAGAAAAAAAAGAACCAAAAAAGTCTATGTGGTAGCTTATGTAGAATAACTGAGCTTTCTGATACTCAAATATGTGGAAATCGTAGTGAATTTTGTTTTTAACAAGGAAAATTAACAGTTATGGGACAATTTCTTTTTAACAGGGAAAAAAACAGGATATTAGGATTTTTTGATCCGTATCCAATGAATGGAAGATTGATTTGATTCCCACATGCTAATCTTTATATTCATCATTTTCAATCTTACGCGTCATCACGTCACTCATGCTTCGGTCAAGACGCTAGCATAACCGATCATGTTGCCGGAGCAGAATATATGCTTCGTAAATAATGCGTATTTCTAGATTTCCTGTTTGAGTTAATTCGTTCATTCTCATTTCTCCATCACTGTTAATATAACATCATTGGGACTTGCACATAATATCTTTATATTATGTTACCAATTGCTTATTTCATCTTTTATTTGACCACGACCTTTAATCTTTTTTTGCTTCTTTTTATCCACTATGTCTATTCCCATAATCCAAATAAGAGTTGCATACTAATTGTCAACAAAAGTTCACAGTTCAATCTATTATCTTTACCTATTAAGTTTGAGTGCATTAACTTCTATTATTAACAGTTTAGACATGACTAGATGCTACAAACGTCGAAAGCATTCTCGTAACGTTGTCCTGTTGACTAGGTACTGTAATTTATGCCAATCAATAATTTTAGGATTTTTGTGGCACGATGGATATAGACAAGCAGAGTGGAAGAATGTGAGAGGAGTGGGAGGAGAGAATGTGAGGAGGCAGGCAAAGAAGAGGAGGAGGAATCATAGCTGATTGGTCATTCTACAAATCATGCACAGTTATTGTGTCGGAAGTGCGGATTTGTGGTGTGGTTTTCTTTCGTGTGGTAGGTGGGGTCACGTGCTTGAATTGATGTCACGTGAAAAAAGTGGGTGACCCGCCTATAAGCGCTATTTTATTATTTTACCCGAGTTTCTTGCATTTAGACGGTTGTTATAAGTTGGCAACAAGGAAGAGCTATTCTTTTATTGCAAATCTAGAATTGTATGCGCGTGATATATTGCATATAAGTTTTAATGAGATTTTTCGATCACCAAAGTTATTTTGTCGCAATCTTTTTGTCTTTGTTGTATTCTGAGATGCTCTGGAATATCTATTGTTTATTACAATATGTATAAGGATTTGATTTTCGTAACTGTTAAGTATGTGTTCTGTTTTCTTCAGGTTTAACTAAACCTTAATCATCGTGCATGTTTGTGAACGGAAAATCCTTCCCAGCTATATCACTTGATGGATGTCAGACGGAATACTGTGAGTTTTAGTGTGATTTTTGGCCACAAATAACATTTTCGGTTTAGCTGAATTATAATGTTGAATATTAGCTCTTCAGGTTCCATCGTTATGTCACTGTTTTATTTTATAATTGACCTATACTCTGCAGTCTTCAATATACCATTGTCGAAACATTCGCTTCGTTATCACGAGATTTATGGATAATGTGACTTCCTTTGACAACTCGTTGAGCAAGCGAATATTGTTATCTATTCAATTTTAGGTTGTCAGTGAAGCAGGAAATGGGAATAAAAATTGCGGTTCTTCTACTGAGGAACGAAAAACTGTAAGTGCATTTTTGTAATAAATCAGGAGTATGAGTTTTTCGTCATTTTTTCGTATCAGAAACGTATCAAGAGCAGCGTTTCGTCTCTTTAATATTCAAATACTTTTCATTGCCGATAATTTCTCAGTGCTCATGTTATACTGTGTAAATAAGATAATGAATTTTTCTGGCATGTTGTCATTCGATATTCTGCATAAGTCCAAAAACTAAAGGATTTGATCGAAAGCCGTAACTATGACGGACAGAAAATTAATTTTGGAAACTGATTAACCTGGTCATAGAATTTTATCGCATAGTAGTGGCTTAGCAAAAATATAAAATAAAAGTAAGACAGCCCATTTTAACCTTATAATTTTTTTATTATAAACTTAATCTTATAAGGGAGAAAAGTGAGCTATCCATATCTTTCATTGACAAGGTTTTATAGTTTGTAACATACACATTTTCTATCCGGTGGTACTCTTCATTTGGTTGTACGGTAACTGAAGTCATTCCTGTATGTTACGACCTTTCTTCTTTGTCATCATAGTTCTTAAATGTTAAGAGTCGGCGCATATGTGTGAGCATATGTTCCGAGCTTCTCACCACCAATTTATGATCCAGAATATTGTAAAAAGTTTATTCTTTGCACTACTTTTATTTCACATGTTCTTGGAAGTCTGATTCTTTAAAGTTTTTCAAGTTCCTTAAAACCCTATCAGTTGCTTCTACAAGTTCTGATCTGCGTCTTTCTTTTCACGACAAAAATATCCATTACCTTGCCAGCTTGTTTAGCACATTTTTGCAGTGAGTGTTATTTTACTATAGGTTGTCATGAAAGGCAAAACAGTTGTACTGACCTTCCGAAAAGGTTGGTTTCTTCAGTCTCCACTCGTCCATCCGTGTTTGTTAACAATTTTCCAAAGTCGGTTTTACATGTACTTGTAATAAGTGAAAATTTGTATTTTTATTTGATTATAGTCTCAAAATTTCAATTAACTTATCTTGACCTGGTAATTTTTGGTATGATTTATTCATGAAATTATATTTTCTAAAAACAGTAAATGAAAATATATGATTATAATTTTGGTCTTCGAAGTGGGCAAATGCTGAAAATTGCAATTATTATAATGATGCAAAATGGTTGTTTAGGTAACCATTGCTTTTTCATTTTCTACTGAATATTTATGTAATTGCAAATTTTAAACTGCTGATTACAACAAGAATAATATAGAGCATTTTAGACTTCGAATGGATTATCTGCATTTAAAATGTTTAATACAATTGCTTGAGTACCATTCTATTATTTGTTATGTCTAATAGCTGTTTTCACACAGCACTCTTTTTTTGACCTTCTTTTGGAGATGTCTTTCATGCTATATGCGAAGTATTGTTTTGCATTGAGATTTCTTTTTCTGATACGAGAACTGAAAATGACGAAAAAGGTCAAAGCCGCTGGATCTTACTTTGACGAAAAGTTTAACAAAATCCCTTGCCGATTGCTGTCCAGCAGATATTGAGAATCACGAATTACTTTTTTGTTTTAAACATGATGTAGCTAGAGTACATTAGTTCGTCTGTGATGATCCAAGGTTCAGGATCTATTTGTTCCATACATTTTCGACTATTAGTTCACCTGTGATACTAGTTTTCGTGGCTTAGAGACTTGGGGATTTCAGTATAAGACGGTTTGTATATTGATATAAACTTGTAAGCTTTTTAGTAAACATATCAGGTATTGTCTAATTGTACTAATTGTATTTAGACTAATTGTAATGTCGAACGGTTGACGGATCTGGTGTTTGAACGAACGCTGGAAGAAGTCAGTGAACCAGATAGGAAACGCCAACGTTTGGAAGTTGAGGGGAACAAAAAAATCACTACAAAACAAGGAGGACAAGTTCAAAAGAAAAGAAATGTGTGCAAATATAAATCTTTTTTCAAATAACTGTCCTTATTCTTATTAATGAAGAAACAAGTAGATATATGGGATTTACAGATTCTTGAAGGTTTCTAATTTATGAAAAATTTAAGGTGATGAATGGTAGACCCTCGATTAACTTCACACCACTGGTTGGCTACGAGCGCCTCCAGTGTGCAGGACCGCTTGAATCGAGGACGATTGTTAATCGCCTGTACCATTCGAATAAATTTGCAAATATCAGTGGAGGTTTCCGATTATATCTTCGACTTATAACGGATGCTATATTAAATGAGATCTGGTATGATCGAAGTATCATTTGTAAGGAATTTCAGTTAGTATAAGGAAGGAAGTGGTGAATTGTACATGTTTTTTATATAACATCTAATGTTTTTAAATATTAGATGATGGTTTTTCTGTTGGTTTGGAGGTTTGCTCCAAGTTTGAACATTCATAAATCCGCAAATAGTTATTTGGAATTTCACCTTTAATATGAAAAACAATCATTTAGTTGAATAAAAATTTCAAGAAACCTTTCTTTGGATTTAATATGAGTAAAGTTTCATAGGATTTCTATTCAAGTAATGTTGATGGATATACGAGCGAAAGCTCAATTAATGTTCTACCTATGGCTAGTTCCATTGCCTATAGTGCATTAGTAGTATCCGTATTCGCAACAAGGGAAGTCATAAGATTTGCAATCCTTAGGTGTAGATTGCTCGTTTATTGGCTTAACGATAAAAAATCGATGTTCGGAATGAAAAATCGTATTATACTGAAATTTAGAACCTCATTCAATGTGGTACAATTTCTGACTCATGTTTCATTTTTGTTTTTGAAGTGACAAGATCGATGATCAGAGTGATTGTTTCGATAAATCGGAAGATATGGATCTATGTATTTTGCAAGTTTTGCGTTATGCGGTAAATATTTAATTTTTTAATATTGTCATGAGACGAGGGTTTAGTGGGTAGAGAAATATATTGACTGAATACTGTAAGTTTAAAATCTTGTTTACCATTGTCATGTCTAAAATATTTTTATGGTACTTTTCATATATTAATATCTTCCAGTGGTCTCAGCTAAGTGATAAAGAACGGTTAAAATACGAAACTGTCGCACGGCACAAGATTCAGGAGAAGCGCAAAGCTGAACAACTGAATGTAATTTCATCATTATTTCCGTAGTTTTTGACGTATCATCTTTTATTCAGTCACTTAGAATTTTGCCTGTGATTTTTGTTTTTAAATTTCTTGGAGCATATATATATATATGAAATTATTCCCTCTCTTCTGGCGAACAGTATTTTTTCAGAGTGATTTATAGTGGCTCAATAATTTTAAATGGATTTCTTTTTTTTTTTGCGTATTTAGAATTCAGTGCAAATATTGTACCCATGTTCAAAATTGACCTTGGGGTAAATTTTTCAGAAAATGAGTGATCAAAATACCAAATCAGAAAAAAATATGAATGCAGCAAGTAAGTATTTAGAACACTTCTTATACGCGAATTATGCAATATTATAGTATTAACATTGCTCAAACCTGCACGTCCTTTAAATTATACTATATTTTGGCTACACATTGTTTTCATATGTAACTAAGTAGCTGCCAACTATGAGTAGTAACTGCAGTTAAATTATACTTTTTATTTTTAGAGACGCAGTGGATCCGTTCTTTGCCAGCTATGCCTTTGACTGAATTTAAGTTCATGTCAGCATGGGCCAAAAAGCAGAAAGAAAACGAACATCATCGTGTACACTGTAAAAGGGTTCGATGTCCATTTTGCAAGAATGCGATTTTGAGGGACGACACGTTGCAGGTTATAATTTCAAAGAGTGTGTTGTATCATATTTCGGATTGTCTTATGCTTTCTCACTTTTTCTTAGTTGAGAAGACAAAATATATATCTTAGATTCTGAATAACAAAATAGTTAACTTTTGAAGTCCTGAATTGAAAAGATTACAAGAATTTACATAATTTTTGCCTGATCTCTGTTTCCTTTTTTCTCTTATCCAAATGTATATTATTCATTTAACCGTAAAATTCTTAGATGCACATTCTATATGGTCATCATAACATGTACGTGTATGCATGCCATTACTGTTTCGAAGGATTCACTTCTCTCGAGCGACTGAAACAGCATGATTGTCAGGAATTCACGCAATTCATGTTACAGTTACTGATCAAAGAGAGAAAGGTATCATGTTTTTCCAAGTCTAGATAATTTGCTCGGCTAATTATCTTTCGGTGACATTCCAAACTTTTTCTTACATTATTTTTTTTTAGTAATTTTTAGCCATCTTTGGACAATAATTTCCAAAAAAAAATTCATATATATTTTGTAAATCGTACTCTTGCGTGTGACTTTGAAAATTGGATTCCACGTTTGATATGACAATAATTAAGACTTCGTTGAATGAAATGCGGATATGTTACAGTAAAGGCACACCTTTTTTCACATTTACTATAGATTTCAGTTAGAAATGATGTTTGCAATGCACACATTGATTTGTGCTGAATGTAATCTGCAGGTGCCTTTGTCATCTTTAAGTAATTTATCCGGTGATAATAAGCACGTGAAACTGCAACGTTTATTGGTTAGTTTTCAATGGAATATGTGGTACTCATTTTTCTTAATGATTGTTCTGTTAGATGGTTAACTTTTCTTCAAAAAAAGGGTAAGAGAGCGATGCCAGTATTTTTCATGTTATTTTTGGGAAAACTTTATTCAGATTATTGTAGATGCAAATAATAGATATAATTGTAATAACATAGTGTTTTATTAATCATTAAAGTTATAAAAACTTCGCCAGAATCTTGATTTGGATTTCAGAACTATCATAGTACAGATAACTTAGTATCATGTGTTATATTATTTGCTGTTCGGCCTGCTGAGGTGGAATATGTAACAATAAAAGGTTGTGCGATGAAGTGTGGCATACCACTGCAGTGTAAATTTTGTTCACACAAGTTTATCTCTGCAGCTGATATTGAAAAGCATCAATTAAATGAACATTCTGGAGTAGTGACTAAATTGAAATGTCCGGTGTGTCCGCGCTTCTACATTACTGATTGTTTCTTTAGGTAATTATTATTATTATTGTTATTATTATACACAAAGGTTTAGTGCATCTACTAGATGCATCGCAGATGTAATGCTAGTCCTATATATAAATTTCAGTAATAGTAATTTCAGAGACCACCTTTTATCGCATCTTGGTGAAATGCATTCGATGACGAGCTTATTGGATAAGGCAACATTTTGGCCACCAGCCTTTTCTCTTGAAACGACTTTTAGGATGGGGCCTTCATTGCAGAAAATAATTGGTTCTGATATGACAGGATTATCGAGAGTCGAGAAACTTAATGATGTTAATTTTCATTTCTCCTTTATTTTGTTGAAGATTTTACTTTCGATGGAATGAAGCCTCCATTGTACCGTTTTTAGCTTTTTTCACTGCATTTTCATTTGAAGTTCAATTAGTGTCAAGCTTGCTTTTATCGATCAGCTAGTTTGAAGGTATAAAGCCAAGGGAAAGAGAGAATTTATTCCTTGATCAGTGTGTATAACAGCAGCGTTGTCCATGAGTCTCCTAACTTTATGAATCAAAATACATTATTTTCAGTTTCTAGTCTTTCAGCTTTCCGATGACGAAGATGGATCATATGAAAACTCCTTGAACAGAAAAAGTAAACTGCTTAACGAAAAAAGAAAGTTCAGAAAAATCGACAAAGGAGCTGGTCGGGATTTGTGTTATTATTGTAGACATGCAAAACAGGTATCAGGTTATTGCTTTACTTGTTTTCAACATGTCTTTTTTGCAAGAAATGTCCACTCATTTCTTAAGGATTGAAAGTGGTTCTTATTGTGTTTTTTAGGTAGCGACTAAACCACTACAGTCCAGTCTTTGCCGATGCATAAAATCAAAACATGAATCAAAATCATTTACAACAAAAAATTCTTTTATGAAGTCACTTGTAGAAAAGTTCACCCGGGAAGGGCGGCTTTATGTTGACAAAAAGGATTCCATTCTGGACACAACAATTGGCGCAGTTATTGATGATAGGTAAAAAATTTCTGGCAGTGTCTTAAAAAATAATTGAAAGTCCTCAGTCTGCCTAGTTTTTCATTTTTCAGTGTCTTCATTTGTGTTAAGTGTAAAGGTCTTCATCTTGGTGACCGAAATACGCTAAAACATCTTCGGATTTGTATGCAGAAGGACGTTGAATCTCCAGATCCGGAAAAATATTTTGATTTGATGGACAGCAAAATTGTTAGTGATGCTGTACTCAGCTTATTCATTTTACTAGCCTCCTTATTGTTCAATAGGCGAAATTAAAATCTTCGTCTTTTAAAAATATTGTTTGTTCACTCCAGGTTATCCGGTTAACTCAATCATGTTGTTCTCCAAATGGCAGAATTAGTTGTCCGGAGTGTGAGGTGACGTCCTGTTCAATTGCTAGCTTACGACGACACCTGGCTCTGCTTCATGGCATTTTTACATATTATAATATTCCAGGTTGATTGCCTTCCAAAGATTAGTTCTGAGGTCGCATAAATGGCGTTCTACGTGTTTGTATAAAATTTCTAATTGTAGAAACTCATAGAGCTGTTGGCATCATGGAATACATCCCATCGAAAACTACTAAAGACACAAAACTTGATATTGCCACAAGAATAAATCTAGAGTTGAATTTGACGCCAACAGGCGATTTTAAGCTGCGATACCAAAGGCCTCGATCACCTATAACCAGTGGTATAATTCATCAGAATTGTTTGGAGAAGCAGAGATTTTTATTTTTTCAAAATATTAATGAGTTGTTCCACCAAAGTATCAGTTTGAACACTGTTATATTTATAATAATTTTTTAAGCCCTCGAAAAATTTTGTAAGATTTTACTTTTAGATGGAATGAAGCCTCCATTGTACCGATTTTTCAAATTTTCATTACAGGAAACAACGCATGGCTAGTTACTTCCAACTTCCGTGCTACAGAAAACCTTCAGGTATGATTTTAGTAGATTTTGCATCTTGTACGCTGTAAGCTGAGGGAAAGGTATGGTAATAGATAATTGATATTACTAAATCATTATTTTTAGAAAAAAAATTTTTTTTTTTCTTGATTTTTTTTTTTTTTTTTCTTGAAGAAAGAATTTTCTTGATTTTCGTCTTATTCAGGCAGCTCCAGTGTCATCTGAAGCGCGATCAACTTTAATGCACACTTTCTTGGACACACCACAAAATTCAGTAATAATGGGAAAATTTACATGTATAGTCTGCTTTGTAAGTGGTTTTTTAAAGGAGATGTATACCGTAGCAACATGACTTAATTTTTTCTGAGAATATCTTTGCTTCCCTCTTTTTTAGATCACAGTATCCGTCTTGTTTCGCAACTTTTTTGAAGAATATATAAGAATGCTGAAGAAATGAAAAAAATTTTTTATAGCGAAATGTTATCGTCGTAGCAAAGGTTGATGGTTTAGATAGAGTCCCATAACTGCTTTTCCATTGGATTTGGTGATTTCGGAACCAACAGATCATTTCCGACGATCTTACCATCCCTTTAAAATTAATTTGTGATGTTTTAAAATATTCGAACGTAGTCGTTACATGATTCTTTTGAAGTTACTGTAACTACGAGTCGCATTGTTTTAAGAAAGCTTATAATGTGGAAAATCTATACGTTAACGAAATGTATGTTATATATGTATATTGTTGTTTAAGGCAACTATCGATTCATCTCTGCAGTTGGCAAATCACTTTGTTCGGTCCCATCTGTACGTATGTTCTGAATGTGGAAGTGGTTTTGTTGCAAAGCAGTGCCTTTTGTCTCATTTGGCTGTTTGTCAAAAGTGGCCTCGAAAATGTATAATCTTATGTTCCTACTTCATTTGAGTTCTGAATTCCGCTTGCTTTGTTGCAGAACTCAGAAACTTTGATACATTTACTTACGAAGACTCTTATAATATTGTCTTTGAGGTTCGAATGGAAAGTTCTATCCACGCTGCCCAATTTGTAGCTCCCTTTTACTCACTCCCGAGCGCTACTTCTATCATTTATTGCACTTCCATAAAACAAGCATATATATCAATCAAAAAAACCAGCAGGTAACAATCGTCTGATTTATTATGCGTGCAGTGCTTTCTAGAAAAAGATTTGCACTTTCTAAGAGTTGAAAAGTTTGAAAAAGCTAACAGTCAGAAAACTGGAACTCCTCATAAGAGTTAATCGGTCTTACTTGCATTTTATTCCAAATGGGTTTACAATCAATCGTTTTACTGAGAAACACAGTAGATTTCTGTACATTTGAAGTGATACAATATACTTTTCCCTATATTGTTTTTTATTATATACTTTTTTAAAGGTAAGTCCGATGTTTATTTGGAAAAAATTGTCCTTAGCAGATGCTGCGAAGTTGAAGAAGACAGTGGATAAACTGGTGAGTTTAATATATAAATTACCTTTCATTTGCTTTTCTCCGTTACTTTGCAAATGTCCTTTATCTGTTGGTTTACAGACAGTCAAAACTGGTGCTAATTTTGCAGCGGAAAATATGTTGTATTCATCCACTCTTCTTCCACTGAAGAATACAAGTTATGCAGAACCCGCTGTTGCAGATGTAAGTTTAATGAAATTATTTACAATAGTTATAGTTGGAATAAAAAAGCTGTAGAATTTTGCGGAATTTTTCTTGGCCACGCTTTGTTTGATTTCCTCTACTTGTTTTTAATTTACGGCGTTTACACTAAAATTCCGAATAATTAAAGTTTAACAGGACTCCGAATATCGAAAATGTTATCTTTATAAATATGTTTTCCTGAACTTTTTAGAAGTTTCTATGTGTTCTTTGCGAACTGGATTTCCCAAACCAAGCAGAATGCGATATTCATCTCAAAGAACATCCGGAACAGTGGAGCTGTTGTCCTGTTTGCATGTACTTCCGGAATCACTATCCGATTCATACCGTTGGCGAACTTTTTGAACACTTGTTGTGTAAACACACAGTTAAATCACTTCAACCAAAAGTAAATGCTAAAAATTTTCTTTTCAGTTCGGCATGATTATGTCTCAGTGGGAAAGACATTCTACATATTTTTCTATAAGTTTCATGTTTTCTTAGTTTCCTGTTCTTTTTTCTTGTCATGACTTCAAATATTGTAATTTAAATTAAATAACTTGCTGCAATTTATCAACCATGTTATGTCGTGAATTCGGCAAATTTTATTAAGATTATTGTCATCACTTATGTGCTCGAAGCAAGGCCTTCTCTTTATTGGTTGTATGGGGTCAATTTTCTTTTACTTTCCACTTCATGAAGTTTTGTGGGGTTTTGAAGTAAAATCTGTGGCTACAATAAGTTTTGACATAATCTGCAATATGCAAGCAGTACTGTATATTAACGGGAAGTCATGCTTAAGTCCTTCATCAGACTCAAACATGCTCCTTAATTTTTAGGAATTTTAGTTTTTTATGGGTGAAGGAAATTATGTTTCAGCTAGGAATTTTATTTCAGGGTCTGAAAATAGTGTGCAATCTTTGTCAGAGTTTATTTTCTTGTGAACCAACTGCGCCATTATCAATCAAGCGCTGCGAGGAACGAATGATCCGGCATATTTTGTACGCGTGCTGCGGCACCCAGATATGCTTTCTTTGCAATGATAGCGTTGTGTATTCACCTGACAAACTGAAGAAACATCGTGTTAGTGAACATCGCATGGTTTTTGAAAGGTCAATTAACTGGAAAAATTTTTTTTTAATAACTTTTTAGATTGGAATAAAATTATTTTCTTCCCATTTTGCTCATATAATATATGTTGAGTCTGATTTTTAATTATGTAAACTTTTAGTGATTCGTGATTCGTGTTCTACTGTAGTGTTTAAAAATTTACTATTGAGGTGTTTAATACAAAATTTTCACGCGCCATTACCTTCATTTAAAAATCGAACAATACTAATTTTTTTGTTAAAGATTTAATTTTGATTCTTCATTTCAGGTTTGGATGTTCGAAGTGTTTTCGGAGATTCCACACCTGCAGTACATTTAGAAAGCATTCCTGCAGTGTGTTGTTAAAATGTTCATGTAGAATTAATGCGCTATTCACAGAAGAAGAATTCGAAAAACATTTCGAAATCCACTTGAATTCGATGAGGGACTTTTGTCTTCTTTGCAATAAATACCTGTTTTCGGTATGTAATTTATATTTTTTTAAAGAATTTTAAATATTATTTGTGCGAATATATTGCTGTTCATAGATATTCCAATTTAGGAGAAGTGCAATAAGCTTTTTTGATAATATGAAGTTTGTTTTCAAGAAGGATCAACTTTTTTCCCATGTGATGTCGCATCGGATTACCGTAAACGATAAAAGGCAGTTAGTTCGGCTCAGCACGCCCGAAAATACGTTGTCATTTCCCACGTCGAATATCACTGTGCATAGTAAAATGAACATAAATGAGACGTCTAAAGAAGTAATTTTTAGAGAAAATGTTATAGGGATTATATGAATTTAATGATTAAACTGAATCAAATTTCTTTTTAACAGTGACAGTAGGTCTGCTGGGTTTTACATAGTATGAATGCCTATTTCAGAATTTTCATTTCAGTTTTGACGAGCGCTGGCTTTGCTAAGCATAAATTTCAAGAATGACTTGTGTCTTCCAAAAAAGATTGGGATATAATCTCATGGAATTTTTGAAATCATTAACACTGAAACATGATCATTTTTTTTATTATCTCTTTTCAGTGGTAAACGGAATTAAATCACTTGGGTCAATAATTTATTTTTGCAGCGTAGTGCTACTACATTTCTATTTGGAAAAGTGAAAGTGAGCAATGATGATGATGGAATCAAATTCTTAGGATTCGGTTGTCATACTAATGATGTAAGAGGAAATGATAATAACGATTGGAAGAAATATGGTGAATCATTTCTTTATAAAAATATATTAGTCTTATCTTGCCTAGTATATTTTTCAAGTCTATTATTTAAATTAATCTATTTCTTATTCGGAATAGAAATGATATGTTTAATTATTGAGTCAAATTTCTACCTTTTTAGCAGTGTTTTATGATGTATTAATTTGCATGAAAAAAATTTTTTGACTTATGTATATTTGAAGCGAAGCTCAGTTTAGAAATTTTCACTTTAATTTTAAATAACATTGGCTTTTCGGAATATAGGTTGCAGGCATTGCATCCCGATGATCTTGTATCTTCCAGGAAAGATTAAGATATGTAGAATCGGATTTTTGAAGTTTAGCACTTAGATATGAACATGAAGCTATAATTTTTTTTTCGGACCATTTCGTATCTCTCCGGATATCATTTACAGAAATAATGAAACACTAATCAACAAACTATAATATTTTCTTTCTGGAAACTAATACACCGTTAATTTTCGTTAAAATTTTATTAGCTGATGATAGCGATGTGGTATTCACGGCGGAAACTGTTCCAGCTAATTTCATGACTAACGTTCGGTCAGAAACCAGTGCTGTTATCGAGTCATTACCTTCATTTTGTACGAATCTTGGAGGAACTACCACATCTACTCCGACTGTTAGAATCCCAGCTGGTTAGCGCAATTAGTTTTTAGTTTGTTTTGAAAAGTAACATTTCGTCTGTGTTTTCAAGACGTGTCTTAACAAAGCCTCATCGCTAATCTCAAACTTCAAAAAACTTTTTGAATTTATGAGAAAACAAGGGAAACACTATATTAAAAAATTGACTGGAAATTCACAGTGATTTTATACAAATTTTAATCGGTCGTCTTTGTTCTGAAAACAAAACTGTTTTCTAAAATTTTTTGAAACTTTTTTCACGAAAATAGGTTGGTGGGCTATAAATAATATCATGAAGAAAGTAATGTAGTATTTTTAGTGGACTATTAGAAGTAACATTTTTGTAAACTGCTAGGAGTTTTTTTTTTGTACATGTAGTTGTTGATATACAAAAATGAAAAAAAAAAACTTCATTACAGATGAAATTATGCCTGATGAATCCGGACCATCTACTACACTATTTGGTGATACAGCTAACATGACATCCAGCAGTACTGATGATCAGAATTCTACAGCAAGAAATGAACATTCAGTAGAAGTCACGGAAAAAGAGCCTTCTTCTGCAAAAATGTCGTACGTACCTACGAATGTTGGTGAAGAGGATGATATATTAATTATCGATGATTTTAAAAATGTAAAGTCTCGATTTTTTAGTTTTGTATATGGATCATTGGTAAGTAGTTTGCTGACTGTAAAGTAAGTTTCAATGTTAGAGACATTGCAGAAAAATTTTTTAATTGAATAGAAAACATTTTGAATCACCAAGACCTAACGCTACCTGTGTTGAAATGACAAACGATTTCAGCTAAATTTTATGAATTACGTGAAAAAATGTCAAATTTTGAAGAATTTTATAAATCTTCAGCGACGGTGTCAAAATTATTGTTTTAGGAAAGTCTTGATATCGATGAAAAAGTTTTAGATGAAGGGAAAATGCTTGTAGACAAAATTGGTGATCCAGATTTGGAGGTTATTGAAAGCGCTAAAAGGTTCCTGTTCTTTTTACTGAAATAAATTTTTTATCTCTGGTGAATGGGAAAATTGCTGTTTAATTAGTTGATATGCATTGTATGTATTCTGTAAATATGGTTGTTTTTCGATTGGAGGTAGGCATTAATTGCCCAGTAAATGGTGATTTTAGGTATCTTGATTGTTATTTAGTTTGTTAGTATGTCTAAATTGGTTTATTTAAGCTTCCTTTATTGATAGCGTAAAGTTGCTTTTTCTTTCGTATTGTATTTGGATGTTAACTTCCATATTATGTTCATTTGAGTAGATACTGAAATTTTAGACATCGTGCGATTTTAAAACGTGAAACGAAGTTCCACTGTAGTCAGTGCACCGAGAAATTTCTTACAAGAGCTTCTTTGCTGATACACAAAGAGACTCACAGATATGATGCCGGTCAAACGATCGAAGCGGTTGGTTGGGTTTAAATAACAAACTCACAGTTAGGGATTTGATGCTGAACTCCTCATAATTTTGCTTAATTTATTTTTCAAAGTTTTAATCTTAGGTCTATGGAATCCCTACTGAAACGACCTTATACATATGTCGTCTGTGTTGTTTGGCATATGAATCGCAAGTAGTATACCAGATGCATATGCGCACCCATGGCATGTTGCAAAATTGTGGACGATGTTCTGCAGTAGCATTTAACGAGGAACAGATGAAAAATCATCAAGGCCAACACGTACCATCTAATAATAGACAACAAGTGGTTTATGTTTGTTCGAAATGTGTGGCTACTTATTCAACGGTTATATCTGAACCGGTTTTCTTTAAAAATGATAATTTTAGTGCTGAATTTCTCAAAAAATCTCTTATCATATGAATGGTTTCATAGGATGAATGAGGTGCGGAAAGCAAGATTGATCAGTTTGTTAGTTAGGTGAATTTCAACCATTTCACACAATTTTTAGTCTATATTTTCAGGACGAGCGTTTATATCACCATATGTTTAGCTCCCATGCGCAGGCTGTACTTTATTTCTGTAAGAATTGTGGATTGGCAAGCACTAATGGGCGTGTTGTCTATGAACATATAGTACGAAATGGGTGCTCTTGGCAGGTGTGTTTTAAATTTCGAAAAGTTATGTGATTGCCAAAGAAAGCAGTGAGCCAGACTGAGCATTATATAATAGTTGTAGCAATAATTTTTTCTTTTTTTTGTTTCAGAATTTATCATCTGTACCAGAATTTGTGGTTATGGGTTTTACGGCAGCATGTATATTCCATTATCAGCCATCCAATCCTGTTCAGTATGAGAATAAACTGCATAGTAATGAATTGCTCGTTGTTACTCCATCAGAGTGTATACATCGGTCATTCTTGTCCCATCCAAATGATGTCATTAGTATTACCTGCCCAACATGTAGTTCATTGGTCAGTTCATTTGCTGCATTAAACTGTAAGAATAAGTCTTATTATCTACTTATTTTGCATTTTGTTTTGACTTCAATAAATAAAAATGATTATCTCCTGAATTCCTTTTAAGTTTTTAGTCTTACAAATTTTTAGATGAGTTTTTTGCAACTCCAAGCAGAAAATCCCAGATTCACTGCGACCTTGCCGGTTCGTTTTACGTACTTTTAATTGAGTAAATGCTTTAAATGTTAGGGTAGTTCAGTTTTATCTATTTCATCTACCAAGTTCAAAAGCTGAACACGTCAAATCCTGACGCATGAAATGAATATATATTTCACCGTTGATCTAGCGTACTCTGAATCATGCGGCGGATGACAACGATACCATCATGTTGGCGATGCTAAATATGTGGAGAATGGAGGACATCGACCAACAAACTAGCGCCGCTAACATACGAAACGAACAGATGCCTACTTTAGTCAGTTTCCCTAGTGAATTGTGCACGTTATCGCAATTACCGTACCGTCTGATAACTCGGCACATATTGCAAGGAATTCTGTATCACTACAACTTTTCTTTCTCGAGTTTGCATTCCCAAACATTAGTAATTACATACTGTCTGCTACTAAAATCTTACATTATTGGCTTGGGTTTTACAAGGACCGCAGACGATTCACATACTCAGTTCCTGAAAGTTTTGAAATGTAGAAAATTATATTTTCTCTTTTCATTAGGTGTAATATTTCAGCCGTCAGGAGGAGTGGCGAGTAATATCAGTATTAGGCAACCACCGTCTCAAATTTCTTGGGTTCCAGCTCGTCAATCGTTGGCAACATCTTCTTCGTTTCCTTCATCACCACTACAGACTGCTGTGAGTGAAATATTTTTAAATTATTTTAAAAACGAAACATATTTTATCGCTGAAAAACCATTAAAATATGCCTTATTTACCAGCTGATCATATAAATGTCTTTATCCGAAAAGATTTCCAGAAATTCTGAGCAATGGTTCATAAATTTCAGCGTTAAATTTTCACGTTATTTCAAAAAAAATTTTTTTTTCAATTAATTTTTCTACTCTTCACTTTTAGGTCAGTCGGCCATCAAGAGCAGTAAACGGTACAACTCTTCGATTAAATAATAGGGTAGTTCTTCAGCTCTTCGATTAAATAATAGGGTAGATATTTGTAAAAAGATCTGAATGTTACAGCACTTGACCTTTATGAAGTCTTGAAAAGATAGATTTCTGTTCGGGAATGTTCTAGGGTATAAATTCTCACCCGTGCTTTCCTCAAGTCATTATATCCACAACACATCCATTTGCATTATCCATCTGTAAGCAGACGGGGCTCGAATCATCGTCATCACTTTCGAAAACACCACCTTATTTGCAGGTAATTTAACCTTTTGTATCTTTATATTGTGGATAGACTTGTATATTAAAAATTGTGGATTTGCTGGTTTAGCCGTATCGCGGTGCACTTGAAGCAGTTGGCCTAACAGTTGGCACTCAGATGGTCACCCGAGACTATATTATGAAGAATGCTGGGGGTAAATACTTCTGTGCTAGATCAGAATGCGCTGATGTGCGAATTGAAAAGATTACCAGCGGACGTGTGCATAATTTGCGTCATAATCCACAGAATATTTTTTTCTGCTTAGAATGTGGTAGTGCATTTCCATTCGAAAATCTCATTGTAAAGCATATGGTCGAATTTCACTATCAAAAACAAAGTTAGCACTATTTGTTCTTTTTGTGTATACTTTTTCGTTTTAATTATAGAATCGGTCTTTTCCTAATTCTGGTAGATAATTATTAAGTTGATAATTACGTGAAATATAGAAGCTGTAGGGATTAAAATCTAGATCTGTAATGCTGTTATTAGCGTGATATTGTCGATTCAGATGTGGAAGAAAAGTTAAATCAAATTACGTATTCAAAATTTCAGAAATGATTATTTATTTCTTGGTTTTATTGCAGCACCATCACTGAGCTTGCGCTGTCCGTTATGTCCGGAAACCGTTCCATTTACGCATATAGAGCTTTTTAGGAAGCATATGGCCGATTCCACAGCGCATTCAACTGCTACTCATCTTTTCAGTTACAAACAAAGGTTTTTTATGTTTTTCTTTTTTTGAAATTTATAACTCATATCTCAAAAGTAACGTAGTCTCTGATGTGCTAAAACATTCTGAATGTTGGAATGGTTTGGAACGGAATTTTTTTCTTTGCTGTTGCAATTTAATGATTCTTTTACCTTATCGATAAGATCTAACTTGCCTTTTGCTTTGTGTATTTTAAATCTTCCTTTTCAGGTGCAAACTACGTTTTTATTCAATAGAAGCACGACTGCGACATGATTTCGAACATCGTGCAACGAAAAATGCGTAACTTTTTGTCATTTGAAGAAATATTTCTTATCTGTCGTACTTTAAAAAGCTATGAAAGGGGTATTTGATTGAGTTCATGTTCCAGCTCAACTTGCAAACTTGCGTCAGTAAGAATTACTAGGTCAGAATTTTAGAAATTGGAGCGCGACATAAGTGTTAAATTTGTATTTTGATAGTGTTAGGTTTCTTATTTCAGTATTTACGTATAAATTGGTGTGATGAAAAGATGGAATCATTTTTGGGTTCTTTTCATGTTTTAGGCCATGTTGTTTTGTATGTGGAACGAGCCGAAACTGGTGGTTTAGCCCGGCTCGAACTAATTTTCCATATATTGATCATTCATATATTCATGCGTTTTCTCTTTGGGGTATGTGTCGGGAATGCGGCTTATGTTACCCAAACGAATTAAAGGTTTATTCTGTTATTGTTTTTTAAGCCCAAATTTCTTGCAAAATTTTGAAGAATGGTGTAAAACGGCTGATATTTTAGAAAATATGGAGATTCTATACAAGCTTTCAAGAAATGCTTTTCTGTAGCATAACTGCTTATATAACAGACCATTTTGACAAAGTAGCAATTTAAAGTATCACTTTAACTTTGAGCTAACGGAGTTTCCAAATGGTAGAGCTTAAAAAATAAAAAAAAAAAAAAAAAAAAACGTTTGTGAAAGCTATTCATATTTCTCTAACGATCAGCTGCATTATAAAGTTGAAACAAATCGTAGGTATTGCATAGCGAATAAATTTCATAGTGCATTTTATTTCTCTGTTGCGAATTGGTTTATATTTGAATTTCTTTTTCAGAATCAACAGTATTTTCATCATTTTAAAGAACAACATATGTCCAAAGCATTGAACACCTGGCATTGTAAAATATGCAATATAGAAATTGATGACTGTAATGTCTATCTACATCCGTTGCAACGACATTTTGTATGTTTTGATGTCTTTATTCGTTTTGTCATTGAAATTGAATTCCAAATTGTATGGACCAGTCAAATTTTCTGATGGACGCCAAATTTTGCTTCAGATATACATCGTTTCGGCAACTGAATCCAAATACCTTTTTACTTCTCTGGGTGGTTTTTTATTGACTTTATTTTTTTCATAGAGCAGAGCATCTTTTGTATAGGAAAATTTTCTGTAATTAAAGATGCTGAAAGTTTGAAAAAAAAATTTTACATTAATAAAACTTTGTCTGTTCTCGCTTTTGCTGATTTTCAGAAAAGTTACTAAGAAAAGTTGAGCCAAAACTTTATACTTAAAGCTTTATTTTAGGTTATTGGCGTCAAGATAGATAGGCGAAGACCGTACGCTGTTAAAACGAGTGATGCACTGATGCTTGCCTTTCTAGGCTACTCATTGCCGGATAATGCGAAGATCTAGAAATGAATTAGGGTGGTTTACGTTTTATCCTTTCATTAAGGATTTACTTTTTTCTGAGTTTAAAATTTTGCTTTATTTTTGCTGTTATTGCAATGAATGATTTTTATTAATACATGTTATATTGATAGTACCTCATTTAGGTTATCTATCATTTACTTTATTAATTTCTGTGTTTAGTGATATCATATAGATAATGAGATATATTAATTTATAAAAGAGGTTCTATAAAATCGCTTCCATTTATGTGGAAAATTAGTGGTGGATTCGCTCTCTTTTATTATTTTCTAAAAATTGACTTTTTACTTGAGATTAAGTGAACTGTTTTACATGTCTTCGCTATTCTGGAAATTGTAAATTTCGTTTATTTGGTTTAACGCAATTTACTTTCTGTAAAGTATCAAGAATATGATTTGGACTTTCCTGGTCTCTAGGAAAAGTGAACTCAAAATCGTATCTAATAGTATGCAAAAAGTGATAAACGTTATAAATATTCTTTAATGTCATAAATTGTTCTGGCATTTATATGACGTAATCTGTAAAATTTTTCTGTCGTGTCACTGATCTCAAAACTTTCTATGATAGTTGCTTTTTCATATATTGTTTGCTCTTATTTTTTGTTAATTTTGTGAATGTGAAACAGACGCACCAAAGTTATACCTTGCAGGGTTCATGATGCTAAGTTAATACCAAAACTGAGTAGACTTTTCGGGAATTTGAGAAATCCGAAATACAACTCTTAGAAAGGGATTCTGTCTTTGTAAACCGATTGCGGTATTACTTTGCTACCTGTTGCATTCTTTTTTTCTTTTTTTTTTTTTTGCCCTTTATATACAATTTATTATAAGGTCAGGGTTCGTGTTCCAGTTTGGATAATTACAGATCGATTATAGAAGATGTAGCGTGTTTCTCATGCTTACACTGTATGCTCATCGAAATCTAGCCAGTGATTTTTTTAGTAAACTCTGCTGATAGGAAAATTAGTAGTAAGCTATTGCGAAGGGAATGTGATCTTTCAGACTAGAAGAGATGAATTTTATTTTCTTCGTGCGCTTCTCCGTTTATAACAGAAATTCTCCATGTTGCAGTACTGATTTCAGACTAAACTTCAAGTTTTTTGACGAGTAGCGTATTGCTCAGTTTCAAGCGTCTTCTATGCTAAATAGGAATAGGGTAAAAACTGGAATTAGTATTTTGGTAGTTTCCATAAATTTCATTTTCTAGATAAACATCATTATTGGTGATAGTTTACATAACATTCAAATTTGCTGCCATGCTCGACGCTTCTGGGGTTTTCGGGGAAATAAAAATTCCGAAAGTGGTAGAGGTTCAAGTCTTGTTCTAAACGGCAGAATCAAATGGTGAGTTAAACAACAGTTTCGGTTAAGTAGTTTCTGATGATTCACTTAGTGTTTTATTACGGGGATTTCTACAGACTCCGGAGATTTTAACTTTGGGAGGGCATACCTTCCATATACCATCCATAAGTGATTTGTCATGCGAAAACAGAGATTCGGCTCGAAACATAGCAGCTATTAATATTATCATCCACATTACAGCGATAATCGAACCTAGCCAAAGATGAGCGTTTCTAAACATTAAAGTTCTCGAGTGAGCAAAGAACCAATGAAAGCATCAGTAATCTTAATATTAGATGACGACATTATTAGCTTGTTCTTAGCAGAGAAGCTCTCCATCAAATTGGAGTTCCTAAGTTGTTTTAGATCTAACGTAGATTTTCGAATAATTGTAGGAAGTTTTCTCGTTCAGCTTCTTTCAAGGAACTTATCAAAGATGCAAATTCAATATCAGATGACCTTGTTGCTGCCCAGAAACAGTTGGCATCAATCTCCGGATGCATAGCAACCAGTCACAATGAGGTGATCATTAACAGTAGAAAAAGTTTTGATGATGTCACGAAATAAGATCAGAATTACAGAGTAGAAGAAAAAAAAAAGGAAGACCAGTAAATTGCAAATTCTCCTATTCAGCTGCATACACATGTAAATTCCTTCTTGCTCGAGATGGCCGTTTTCATCCTGGAGTCGTAGTTATAAAGTGGGACAGATTAGCATCACGGTACGGTTAATTTTTATTTATGTTTAATGTTTGTTTTGTTAATTAACAGGGTGAAAGATTCAAGTGTATAGAATCTTCCAAGTTACTTCATTTTGAGTTAAAAAGAATCTATTTTTCTGGTCTGTTCCGTAGTCTCGTCTTTTTCCCTTTCACTACTGTAATAGTTGAAATGTTGCATGTGCAAATGATTGTCCCTTTTCAGTAATATATAAAAATATGAATATCACTCTTACAAAAAAGTATTCATGAGATCTGTGTTGAATTAAGAAACACGTCAGTACATAGATATTAGTCATTATAACTATTATGAGGCGGGCAAACCGTAAACTTCAGAAGGAGCTTTACGTGAGAGAAATTCTTGACTCGAAAACACTGTATTATTCGATTTTTCTGAGAAGTTTAAGTAGGCTTTTGATTGATAATTTACTTACGTATTATGTGCAGCGATAATCAATATTTTAAGCATGTTAAAGCACAAAAAAGGTAGATTTTTTAAAAATATTTACTCTTTTTTCTATAGACTTCCTGCTACTTTGACAATGTTTTCTATTGATTCTTTTCTATATATATATTGTACTGGTGTTAACGGCAAAATTAAAAATGGAAACCATTTGACTATATTCTTTATTTTTTCCAGTTATATACCATAATTGATACACAATGTCTCAAGCACAAAAACCTTCCTGATAGTAATCAAACAGGCATTCAGTAGTTCACTTTTCAGATTTTTGTCAAGCATACCCAGATTTTAATAATTGTTGTTTTTGTCAAGTTCTTAGTTCTATCTTTGGTTTGCGGGTCAAATGAAATGGTTAAATGTGTTCATTTATTGATCCATCATCCATTTTCCGTTAGCTTTACTGTGTTAGTTATGTTATATCATTGTTTTCTCTTTTATATGGGCTTTCATATCGTTAAAATTGAAAACATTAATTATACTTGGATATCATCTGCTGAAGGATTTTACTGTTCAGTATGATAATTTATAAACAGTTGTTTAACACTTTAAAAAGAGTGGATCATATTGAAATCCAATGCTTTATAAAATTAAATTTTGATTGATACAAATTTAAAAGCAAAAAAAAAAAAATAATATGATATGGCGAAAGAGTTTTCTCTTAAATTTATATTAAAGGAAAGAGGTGAAGAGGCTTTTATTCAAATGAGAAAATATTTATTTAGAGATGTGTTAAAACGGTATTTGCTTGTCATAATTCGTATCTACATATCCGTACTGCAGAATTTTCATTTCGAATGCTAATAACTTTTTAGTTCTTAGAGCTTCGTCTCCTATTATCTCGTTTTTGAGTAGAGAGAAGTTTTTGTTATACACATGCACTGAGTTTTCATTTAGATAGATTTTTTTGCAGTTTTAAATTGTATACTCGGGAGAAAAAATTCTCCATGCTGTTTAATTGTTTCTTCTAGTAGTAACTGCTCTTAAGTGGTTGTATGTTTTAACCGTTCTCAATGATAAATAAATTAGGAATAAATGCAACAAATTTTGCCAAAAAAGAATCAATGATTTACTTCATTTTTATGTATTAGAGGGATTAGAATGTTTTAGGTTGGCATAAATTGAAACATCTTAATACAATTCTTAAGCAATAACCGTTGGAAATCATTGTTACACTCTATTTGCTCTAAAAAATCACTTCTTAAGCGCAAAGTGGACTTTTGTTTGTCACTGGTTCGAATAATTCAAACATGAACGGACGAAATATTGTATGGATGGATCTAAAACCATTTCTCTACAATTTTTTTCTACTAGATCATTGCGTTCAAAACTTTATTTGAGATTAATGTGCTATTTAAATTCTTGTTAGAATTTAATTAATTTGGAATTTAATGTTGAAATTTTTTAATTTTTTTTTGCAGCATTTCTTAATTTCACTGATTTCTAGATTCAGAAGTGTTAGATTTCTTGCAATTTGGTAGAAATATTTTTTTTGTTGGGTTAGTTCTTATTAGAATCTTAACTCAGTGAATAAAATGCAATTTAGATATCATTTCTATTTGCTGCCAAGTAAGTCTGATCTGACTATATCTGACTGTATCACATATATGCAGTAAGATCGGCTACTTTCTGTGTTGTGTGTTATTTGGCTACACAGTATTTCCAAGCAGTCATTAAAGAAACTTTTCATGAAGTTTTTCTTTCTTTTCTCATGTCTTGACCAAGCGGAAGTTACTTTCTGGAAGTTAATCTTTTAAATTTTTTTAATCTTTTTAAAAAAAAATTTAATGTGAAGCATTTCTAGAATTGTGTACCATCCTGGCTTAATTTATTTTACAGTTTTTTCCTCTCAAGTCGTTTGGTAGGATTCGATCTTTTTGGATAAAAATTATGTCCCCGTGGGAAACTTTCTTTTTGCTTTAAATAAAATTCATTTCCCTACCGAGGGAAGGAATTCATTTTTTTCAGTGCTTAAAAATTTTGAAATTATGTTTGGCAACATTCACTGTTCTTAAGTAGTGTTGCTAAATTGAAGACGTTCCATATTTCATTTAAATTAATTTACAAAATTTGTCTTTTTTTAAAAATCTGATAAACTAATAGAAATAGAAGCGTAGCTTAATAACTTTACTGTGCTTGATTATACAATTCTGACCTTCTGTGATCTTCTTGATGGACTTAGTTTTCTCTGAATTATCCATTATCTTTTGTATTTGAATGTTGAGTCGAAAAGAAAATCTCAAGTACAAATTGATAGGGAATTTAACACAATGCGCATGACAAAGCATAACTCATGAATGATATTTGTCACAATATAAGTAATTGAAAGGAGAATCAGTTTTCAGTTCCATGCTTGTAGGGTAACAGTTCAATTGTTTTGGTTTGCATTCCAGTTGAAGTTTTTTCCTATTTCAGAACAGTCAAGATAGAAAATAAGAATCGAATGATTAAGTTGAAGATTGGAAAATGAAGAGACTTTCCGAATGGTTCGTATTTTATTAGTGAATGTGCCGGAAAATGTAATTAAACTGGGAACAAAAACATCCATTCTAGTAGTGTATTTGCTTCCATTATCCTTCATTCAAATTCCATATTTGGCATTCTGTTTTTTGTTCCTGTTTTTCATTGCTAGGTTTATTTTCCATTCTTTGTTTGCGCCTTTCATGTTTGTTAGCATAAGTGGACTGAGAACTGTTACTAATCCCACTTATCATTCGCTTTCATTCAAAAGATTGAAGGATTCGTAGATTTCTTCTCATTATTCCGAAGAAATTATGTTGATTATAAATTTTGTTTCAATATGTCTCATTTTCATTTACTTGCTTTGTAGCCTGCACCAAACCTGCATCTTCCTGTTTTTACTTAAAGCATATATCATACCTGTACTTCTGCGCCTCTATGTTCAGTTTTTAAACTATTCTTTATTTACTTTGTTTTATTTCGAGGGAGTAAACTTTTCAGTTTAAGAAAAGCATTTGTTCACTTGTCTTATAGCTGCTTCCGAATAGCATCAAAAAAGTCTACAGTGGACATAACGTGCTTCAAGTTTCAAGCATTTCAATTGTGTCTTTAAAACATCTTTAAAGAAAGCTGCAAATTTTTATGATTTCTGAGGTAAACACCTTGATACTATCATCTAATTATTACTATGTCCTAGCTACGGATGTTTATTGCGGAACACATTCCTGGTATATGTGAACTTGCCAGAAATACACACAACCTTTCTGTATTACTTATTATTCATTCAGCACAGTGTAATCTTATATGTACTATAAGAACCTGATCATGAGAAGGAACACACCTAAATAGAATTTCCATTTTGCGAATTTTTCTATTGCTTCCATAACTAAATTTTTTTGTTAATAACAGAACTATAGCGACGGTGTTGAGGATATTTTTCTTCTCTCTTTTTTTTTCTTTCCTATCTGTCTCATCTCATATTTTATTCCTTTACTACTTATTTGCTCAAGTATCTGCTTATTAATTACTTAGAGATTGACAGCTAAGAGAAAAGCATAGCTGTATTCAAATCACCTTTTGCTTAGGTACAGGTCTAGTGAAGACATTTAATTGTTTGGAGATTATATCAGTTTATGTGTATCAAGCACTTCATGCTTATTTTTCTTGATGAGTTATCGATGAATTACTAATGATTGTAAGATGGAGTCTTGTATAAGAGTAATTTCATATAGTAATTCCTGCTCGTGCGTTCTGTTAACTAAATTTTCACATTTACTCATTTGTTAGTAGCTTATTATAATTTCTTTTCAACCAGTATTTTCAGCTTTTCTAATTAATAACCATCATTTTCAAGTTCGTTTCCACTGTATTACGCAAAAGCAAAAAAGTATTCCTATCTCAAGAGTGATTTACGGTGTTTGAGAAGTATTAGTCGGAGTAAGGAAAGAAAAAAAAATTCCTCTCTAAATTCATTATTGACGATATTAATCTTTTAGAATTTAGTTTTCCCATTATATCTTTGAGCTTTATTCTTGCCACAATTTGTAATATTATCCATTTCGAGTCCATTGAATAGGCTTGCAGCATTATTGAACATCGATTCTTTGAATGGTTTATTGCGGCCTTTCTGCCTACTTCGGATGTAATTCTTTCCTCACCTGTTGCAGTAATTAATATATGTCATTCGTTAAATCAGTCAAGATACTGATGTTTCAAATGGCTTTTTTATGGACCTCATTCTTCCATCCATTCGAATATATTTTTTAATGATACATAGATTATGTTTCGGTGAACTTTCCCACTTTCTACTTGATGGTTCATTTACCTGTTTATTTTTAATTTTTAATTGCCATCCTCGCTTATTT